TTTTGATACTTAAGTACAAAAATATCAGATACTTTAAGACTTTTACTCAAGTAATGTTCTTAAAAAAAGACTTTAACTTTTACCAAAGTATTTTTATGATAAGATACTTGTACTTTTACTCAAGTATCACTTTCAGGTACTTTATACAACACTGCAAGTATTAGTAGTAGATGTATTTTTGTTGGATGTTTCCAACCAAATGACTGCATTTGGGCAGTGCAGCTAATGAACCAGAGAGCTGAATATCTTTATACTCACTGTGTTTCATTGAGTGACACACATGATGCTTGTTTGTAATACAACATGATTTCCCAACAATCACTGATATTTATAGATTATTTTTCTTAAWTTTCATGCAGGGTGGAATTAAAATGGTTTTAAAAAGTCTTAAGTTTGACTTGCTACAACCTGCAGATACCCTGTAAAATGATTAAATAACGTTAATAGTTTTTCAGAGTTTGTGAATTAATTAGACATTTTCTGTACATAATTTCCAGTCATTTGCAGCCTTTTAAAAGAACACATCTTTCTTTCTGAAGCATTTTTACATATTTTAAATTAACATTTTGGAAACATCTGTTAAGGTGCTCTGACTTTTAGACATTTTGTTGAACATGAGCAGCTTTCTAAAGGACAAATATTACACCCGAACGATCCCGCGGCTGGACAAGGTTTGCACTGATTTCTCACCTAAACTTTTCCTCAAAGCCGTATAAATGCCAGAAAAATAATGTTAATGCAATAACCAGACTTTTTGCCACCTCTAGTCCAAAGTTTGTCAGTAAATGATTAAATCCAACTTCCTTACTGATGGGAAGAAAAGACTCGAGGGTTACATAATAAAATATGAGCTGCTGGCCTAATTCTGTTTTCATATCAGACTTTAGCTTTGCTGTGTTTTAGATTTTTCATTAATAAACTCCAAATTAAGTTCTCCTGATGAAATCGTTTGCTCAATGCTGCAGTGGTTATAAACAGTAAAAAATAATCAAAATAAATATTTGAAAACTTTGACAATATAAGAGTTAAGGAGTCACTAACTGATTTTACTGGTAATATTTCTGATTATTTGACGTGCAAAGAACAGAACAGATACCATCTGGATGTCTACCATCCAGTTTTATGTCTTTACATCAGGATAATTTTAAGTAGAATTTATATTAATGTATGTAACTCTGTTTTTGAGGGGGAAAAACTTTGGGAAAATTAGAAACATGTATTGCTACTACGTAGCAAGAGATTTGGACTCAAAGGGGCTATTCCCCTCCCCCACTTGGTGGCACCTCTGGTTACAACTTACTCATTCTTCCGCAACTAGCAAAAAATCTAAACTGGTAGATCTTTGCTTCTTATCTGCTCATTTTGCTAGAACCAGAGGTTGACCAATATGTAATTGTAAGTWTTTAGTTTTATGTCCAAAGCTCAGTTGTACAAATCATGGCTAATCTACACTTTTTTCCCCCCCCATAAGATAGTACAAAGCATTTATTTACAGGGTTTGATCAAAATGGCAAGTGCAACAACTCCATACCTTCTCATCACGAGTTGATTTAGTTTGACTCTGATCCAAAGGGTGGCAGGTGATATGCATTCTTTTAAAGGAGACTTATCATGCATAATCAACAAAATGTATTTAATGRCTAAAAAAGTTGTGTACCTGGAGTCTCTAGGAGTGCAGAAATATAGACTTTAGTCTCTCTCGGTGCAGCAAAGATATGTTTATTTTCTGTTTGGGTCATATCSCTGTTATTTACTGCAGAACTGCTAAACAAGGTAATTACTACTTTTGTGAATCTGCAGTTCTACAGGTTTGTCATCTTCATTGTCCTCTGGTTCTGGGTCAGACTCTGGTTCCAACATGTAAGGCTGCATGGCCAGGTCTTCTGTTGTTGTCATTAAGGCTGCACAATATATCGAAAATTCATCRTCRTCGCAATAACAGCCTGTGCARTATGCATATGGCAACAACTACTGCATAAACTGCAATAAATGGTTGGCTCAAAAGTTTGCATTTTTGAGTTTAGTCACTCGGATGGAAGTTTGAAGTATTTCACCAATCAAACAAAGCCCTTAATGTATTTGGCCAATTGGATGGATCCCTTCATAAAAAAAATCATTTGGGAATGAAAATGATTAGGTTTTTTTTCTCTTTGAATCCAGAGCAGAAAGACTTCAAAACTACATAATTATGTATTTGGTATTTGTTAATTTATCGCAAATCATATCGTCATCGCAGTATTAAGCACCAATATCGCACATTGCAGGTTTTTCTAATTTTTACTTTTTCTAGTTGTCGTCTTTTAAGTCATTTGTAAATAAAAAGTTTCTGCACCGCTAGATAAACACATCTCTGCTATCAAACTACAAMAATGGCCAAATGGGGTGGAGGGGGGCAGGGTGTGAAGTACCTCAGGTACATTTGAAGAGACAGCGTCAAAACGAGCTGCTTTAAGACACACCTTAGAGCAGGAGTGAGAGAGGTGCTTGTGGAGTTACAATCAGGAGGAATTCAGACCAAAGCATTTCAGTTCCACTTGTTTTTAGACTCCAACTGAATGATTTAAATGTGGTAAATGATAATTTAAAAACATGTCTACTTTAAGCCATTCTAGGCATTTAAATGCTTTTTAATATTATTAATATGCTTTCGTTAATACCAGTGAAAGTACAAACTAATTCATTAATAACTATCAAAAGAACCGTGGTCTCCTGAGGTCAACTYGTACAAGACCTCATCTTGACCCTAGGGGAACAGGAGGGTTAAAGCAGAGTTTGTGAGGTCCTGTAACCCCAGCAGAAAGGATTAAATAAGCAGAAATTGAAGCTTCTCCCAACATTACACCATTTATTTTTCACTGCAGATCAGTGCAGCTTTTGCACATTTCAAATGTGAGAAGGGCCTGAGTTGGCTGCACTCCCTTTTGCTCTTCCCACGGGGAGTATCCACTTCAAACACATGGCATGCAAGAAGAAAAACTGATTCAATAATTTTATTTAAAAAATGAATAAAAATGGGCGAGCCTAACCAAGGATTTRATCAAACCTAACCTGAACACCAGCTCTTCAGCAGCTGAAGGATGTTTCCAACTTGTGAWGGTGTTTAGTCTGGTCAGATAAAGGTTTGAAGTTGTGATTCATTAGTGTGGTGTTAGGTTTGCAGCTTAAAATCAATCCCAGCTATCTACTTAATTTTTCTCCTCCTGCAGTTTTTCCTCYATGTTGATTTCTGAATATCTGAGAAATATTTGCCTTTTAAAGGCTGTGTTTACTCCATGAAATCTCTTCCTTCCTCCGGGACATGAATGCTAAATTTTAGCCTATTTAGAGCTTTTAAACATTCTGTTTAAATGAATCCTTTTGATCAGTTTTCTCCCCATTTTCCCTGATCTTTCTGTGTGTTTCTGTTGTAAAAATGCTTCTTGARTAAAGCTCATCTTGAGTCGATGCGTTGGTGTTGCAGGGCCGTCCTTCTCCATCGACATCCGCTCGGACGCCAGCAGCGTTTATCCGTGGGAAACGGCCAAGATCGAGTGTTTACTCAGCCTCAGAGACTCTGGATCCTCACCAAAAACTGGTACTTCACACACACACACACACACACACACACACACACACACACACACACAC